AAAATACTGTAACTTGATAGTTTATTATGTGTCATGTAATGTAGCTGTCAGATAAATAATTTTGTACTGCGTGACACTGGGCTTGTTCAAAACAATGGATTTACTTTTCCCTCACATTTTATAATTGTTTTTTTATTTATATTGCTGCTTGAACTTTAACGCCAACATTACTCTGGTCGTTTTCTTATTATGTAGTTCTCCCTACTGTTAGTTACTTCGCTGTTATTCTATACTGACATCCATGAGCCGTAATTCTTGTTGGTTCCATAATACTGAACAGTATAAAACTGATAATTTGTCGTTGATGAATGATGAGTAAATGTACTTATATTATATCAAATACAAAAGTAACGGCCATTTCTTAATTAACAGCATGGGAATAGGATCTTTAATAGGAGTTAATAACCGTCGACCTACTCATTGGTCTTTGGACACTGTAATGTATACTCGTTAAAATTGTACTCGAGTTTGAATAACCGTCGAGTCNTGGCTTAGTTCTGCTTGCACATCAGTGAGCGAACGGCTCATATAGTTCTCTCTTCTTTTTGAAGATCTGAATTCAATAAGGAATTCAGAATTCTTCTGATTTATTTTGATCAAATTAGCCGCGACACCGTGTTGTCGTCGGTACATTTTAAAGCGATATTAAGTACAATTATTTTTGCGTCAATACTAAACATCATTTCATTTAATTATTAATAACTAGTTAGTGCTTGGTCATATACTTCGACTGGGTGTCTGAGAGGAGGCCAAGACCCCGGCCACTACATGAATACCTCAGCGTTTTAATACCTCTATGAGAGGAACTTAATACATATCTTTTTATATCTACTTGTCTTTACTGTTCTAAACCCTCGTACTCTACAACCCCGATAGAATCTCGTTGCTTCTGAATTGACCAAATCCTCAAATATCCAACATTGGTCAAATAAAATACTTTATTTTTATTATGTTTCTCTATTTATAGAATGTTATTTTCAATGTAGAAAAAGCTCCTAGGCAAGGTCAATTCATATACCCTGTGCGTAATTAATCATCAATGTTTTTAAAAAATAGGATAGCAAGCATCTTAGTGTAATATAAAATCTTAACAAAATTACCTCGTTCGTAACGGTCAACAAATTATACTGTGAATTTAAGCGTAACATTTTTTTAATATTACAAAATAATAGAAACAAAAATTTTAAGTAACTTTAAAAAGATAAAGTTTTAATATTTTTTTTAATCGTTATTAATAAAAATTATACAGTTTCCGTTTTAATATTTAGAATATTTTTTACCTACTCAATGTTTGATTGCAGAAATTAAATATAAAATGGAATGTTTTGAGAAGTACGAAGGACAAGAAGTTGTATTACCAGAACAAGTTTTAGATATATTGGAATCGCAATTCAATAAAGCTAAAACGTTACACACGACTGATTTAGAAATATTAGCAGCAGAATTAGGTGTTAGAGAGGTAGACGTCAAGGTATGTCTATAGAAATGTCTCAGACCTAACTGACAACACTTATAATTTTTAATACATTTATCATATTATTGAAATATTTTTTAAAAATAATTGTTGTCTATTAATTATTATGCATATTTTTTTATTATATATCTCTAATAAGAAAAAATAAATAAATACATTTATTTATCAGTAATAAATAATAAAAAGAAAACCCAGCACAGGGGGGTCGCGGCACAGTTGTGACGTGGCATAGTTGGGTCAAGTATAATGATTAAAATCACTATCATAAAAAACGCTTCGGTGCAAATCTTTAGATTGTGTTTAATTTAAAAAAAAATGGTAAATTATTCCAAAAGCTACATGATCTGCTATTTCCTTATTAATATCCTGATTAAGATAAAGTATGTCGAATGAAAAAGGGATATAAATATTATTTCTCATAAAAAAATTGTGTTGATCCATACACTTTTCAATAAGTTATAGCATTTTAAAGTAAAAAATTTAAAATATAAAATCGAGAAATTTTACACAAAAATAGCATTCGGTAGCCATTTTCACCACGAAGACAAATCCAGAGGTTAAATTTCTTTTTTTCATAATAAAGTATATTACATTAGCTTTAATTTAAGATATATATATAAAAGTGTCAGACTTTCTTGAACATTTTAAAAAGTTAAGTTGAAAAAGTTATTTTTTTGTGCATAAGTTGTCATTTCAAATCCCTCTCTGTGGGCAGATAAAGGGTCAAATTTATTTAAAAAATATACCAAAGAAAGGTAAACACATCATGCATCTATAAAAAAAAATGTTATATTGATTTGTTCATTTTTAAAAAAGTTATGGCAGTTTTAAGTAAAAAAAAATTGAAAACATTTCGAAAATTAGCGATTTTCAAATTTGTAATTTTTTTGGAAATTTCCCCCATTTACGGAGAACGTAGGAAATTTTTTCAATCTTTGAGGGTTATGGCTTTGACAAGATACGATTTGTGATCTTTTGACGTATCGTTGAAAGAAATCGGTCCAGTGAGAGCTGAGAAAAAGTGGTAACCGAAAAAAAAAAATAAAATAAAATAAAAAACACATCATAGCAACACTAAAGATAAATAAAAATAAGATTTTTTTTTTTATCAAGTTTAGTTAATTTTTTATGTAATATGTCAAATTTATGTTTTAAATTATTACTACAATAAAATCGATAAATTAATATACAATTTTACATAATTATATTTATGGTTACTTAAGACAGATAAAAATTGTTATGTGTTTAAAACTTGCTAAACAAAAATAATAATTAATAAATCAAAACATCTTTTTATAGTATAATTTAAACCATTTGAATATAAAATAAATATATATATATTTATTGAATATATAATGAAAATAAAACAATTTGTTTGTATCTTTATAGATATGGTATACAAATCGTATAGCAGCTTGGAGAAGAAGTCAAGGACTTTCAGATTGTTTTGGTCAGTTGTGAATAAAAATAAATTAACAATAATATACAAAAATAGAATAGTTTTATTAATCTTATAATATATGACCAGGTTTGTGGAAAAATCTTGTTTATTGTTATTTTAATTTTGTTTTTTAATAAATCGTTGAACATTACTACATTTTTTTGTTAAATTAATATAATTTTAATGGTTGTCAATGAAATTATTCTTTTCAAAATTCTTCTTCTAAAACAACAACAGTTGTAAAATTGATGAACTTTTAAATTCAAGTAAAACTCTAAAATCAACTTATTTTCGCGCGTAACTGAAAAATAACGTAATATTGTACAAAATTATTTTTGAAGCAACTCGTTTTTGAATTTATCGGTAAAATATAGTTTTTCTATTTGAATTAAAATATTTCCCAAATAAATAAAGAAAAACCTTTAAATATTCTAGGATAATTATGACATTGTTAAATTTATAATCCTTGCTAGGTCATAAAACTATTGACATTTTTGATAAGATAAATATTTTTTCGCGGACGATACAGAGTTAATAGAAGAAAATAGGGAGGTAATATCTTTAACTAAATAATAGTTCTGATCATTTGGTGTATTGTTTTAAAAAATTTGGTCAAGTGAGAGCTAAGAAAATAGATGAGAGCTACAGAAAAAATCTTATAGTAAAATAATTTTAATATGAATATGAAATTTCTTCAAACGAAGAAAGACTGCAGTGATGGGGTCCTTTATATTCATTGAAGTTATTGAATCTAAATGAGACAAAAATCAAATGACTTAAAATTTTTTTTTTACTCAAAAACTTTTGTAAGGTATTATAAAATAAAATAAAATACAAAATCAAGAATTTCAACTCTAAAATAGGACATTTTTGAATACGGTAGTATTTTTACCATGAAGACAAATCCAGAAGTCAATTTTTTTTTTCCATACTAAAGAGTATGACATAAGCTTTAATTTAAGATATATATAAAAGTATCAGTATTTCCAGATTATTTTCAAAAGTTAAGTTGAAAAATTTAACTTTTTGTAGAAAAGTTGCCATTTTGAAACCCTATGAGTGGACAGTGAATAAGTCAAATGTTCACAAAAATCAGACCAAATGGTAGGTAAATATTTAAACAATCTATAAATAAAATAATTATATTATTTTAAATGTAAAAAAGAATTTTCTTTACAAAAAACATATTTTTTTTTATATTAAAGTATATTAAATAAGCTTTAATTTTATATACATTTAAAAGTGTCAGTATTTTAGGAACATTTTCAAAAATTAAATAGTTTCCAAACTATATATTGTACTTACCAGAGTTTTGTTGAATGTAGAAAATAACCTTTACTTTTCATATTTATAAAATCTTGAATGTTACATCATTAGTAGTTATTTTTTATTAAAGTATTAAGTAATGTGTTACTTAAAGATGTTTATTATTTCTGATTGTTTTAGCTATGCAAAATATAATTTTTAAATTAAAATAATGTCGAAATTAAAAAGTATTAAAATTTATATATATGTTGCAAGCCTGTAATAAATGATAAGATTATGTTTTATCACTAATCCTCGTCCGCATCCATATCAATAAATATTTCAAAATTTTCTTTCCATCCGTGCTTTTTTTAGCATTATTTAAAATATAGGATTATCAAGTATTTAATTAATTCATAACTAATCAATTAAAATAATAAATTTTTCAAAATGACATCTACTGCTGTATCAAAAGGTTCTTTTCAACCAGTACGTCTGAAATATTTTATTTTATTTTTAAATAGAATTAGGTTATTGTTTATAAATCCAACTTTTAGGACTCTGATGTTCATATTACATTTGAAGATCAACAGAAAATTAATAAATTTGCAAGACTAAATGCTCGTGTTGAAGAATATCGCGATGAACTAAAATCAAAGCAAGTATGTTAAAAATTAACCTCAAAATGTTAAATTAAAAACTTTTATAACTTTATTATAATTTTTATTTATTAGAGAATATATTTAAAATTTTTAACTAGATTTTGTTTGATAGATGATAAAAAATTAGTCAAGGTTTCATTGACTTAAAGTTTATTGATCCAAACATATTTAACCATTATTCAGCAATTAAAAAATTAAGTATTTGCTAGGAAAAAAAACATTTTAATGGGACGAAAAAAATAGTAGATAACAATAATTATAATAATATAATATAATTATTATTATTATTATATTTAAATTTATTTGTCCTATTAATAGGGTTTTGATTATCATAAAATGTTTTGTACTTGGATTTTTTATTATCTTAAGAGTATATTAAATAAATTTCAAAATTACTTTCCTTGCTTAAGAGTAAGTAATTTCTTTATTAAGTAAAACTTGTTGGCTTTAAAATACTTTAAATCAAAAATTATTCCTCATAATTATGAATAATAGTATGATAAGGGTTGTCAAATATAAATATTGTTTGATTATTTGGTATTTCTTCTCATACAGTAATAGTAATAACTCATTTGGTATATTAATTTAGACACAATTAAAAAATTTGGAAGATGCATGTGAAGAATTAATGCTATTAGATGAAGATGATTGTCCAAATTTACCTTACCTATCTGGTGAAACATTTGTGTACTACAATCTTGAAACTGCACAAGTATATTTCTTAGTTACTTATGTAAAATAATTTTGTATCACACTTTAAAAATTTTTAGAATAATTTAGAAGAATTAAAGAAGTCAGTTGAGAAAGAAATGAAAGAAATTGAAACTAAAATTGCTGATATATCATCTACTATGAGTGATTTGAAAACACATTTGTATGCAAAATTCGGAAACAACATAAATTTAGAAGCAGAAGACTAAGTGAATAATTGTAATCTTAATTTATAACTTTATTATAATAATCTTTAAACATTAAAAAATTAATTCATTAAAAATAATATATCTGTTTTGGAAATTAAACATGTTTAACACAGCCTTAAATTGTAAATAACAAAAATAATCAATTAAAAAAACATAATATAAATATTTTACCTTAATATACTTAACTAATGTTTTTAATAAAAAAAAAAAAATGTTCATTTATTTACAATAATGTTAGAAATTGTATACTATCTTTTAACATTTATTAACCGTCAAGTTATTTAATTAATTTTTTACACCTTAAAATAACCTTGTAATTTTAAATTTTTTGTTCATTCTTTGATATGCAATACTAATTAGTAATGTTTTAAGTATTTTAGTAATAATGAAAAAAAAATTCTTGAAATATTATATTTTATTTATATATTAAAAGTATAGGAAAATAGTTTCAAGAAATTCTGTATATATATATATTAATTATTACATATCAATATTAAAATTTCATTGTACAAAATTTAAAAGTTTTATAAAAAACAATATCTTGAGTGTAAATATTTTAAATTGAGAATTTTAATGTCCATGATCAGTTGATAACATTAATGGGGTTAAACATCCTAAGACTAAACACATTAATTGATAAGGATTGAAAGTATCACTACCATCTCTAGATGCTTTAACCATCAACTCTGGAAGGACATGCACAGTTGCTACATATAGAAATGTACCAGCACTGAAGAGCATAGCTGCTCCTGTAGCATTCATTGATGACAAAGTTTCTTTTCCTTCCTAAAAAAATTATAAAACTTTTATTTGAATAAACAAAGAGTAAATATTGAAGTAAGAGTATAAAGGTATAAATTATTTTATTTTTCTGATTGACAATTTAGAAGCATTTGTAGTATAATCATGATTTTTTAGTCTCAAATAATGTTAAAACTTAATTATAAAAATTAAATATTGATAGTTATTAAATTCTAAATTTTACTTATTTCAAAATCTCAGAACATGTCAATATCATAAGGATGTTAACTTTAGTTATAAAAAAATACAAAGTGTAAGAAATCTAACTATAAATGCTATATCTTTTGATACAATCAACAATTTGTTGTAATTTTTTTTTTTAAATGTATGCACTTTTAGACTGTTGAAATCATATTTTTTATTATTTATTTTTTCAATATTTATAAATAACCAATTTTTGACTAATTTTCTTACAAAAATAACAATGGGTCTATAATAATTTTAAAATAAGTAATAACTGAGTTACAATCATTTTAATACATAGAGTGGTTATGTAGTGACAGTGGATGCAGATCAACTGATGAATATTTATAACATAAATCAATATACAAAAATTTAATATGTATACCTGTCCAATGCAAAAGAAGGTCAATATAGCACCAACTGGAGCTGCCATTGAAAATACCATCAAGTGTTTTTTAATTTGTTTTCTATCAAGTCCTTGGTGTAAAAGAATAGTAACTAAGCCAAAGGCAGCAGGTGCCTTATGTAACATGATGGCTATGAATACTATCATTTCAACTTCAGTGTGAGTTGAAGCAGCAGCTGCACCTAATGCAATACCATCAGCAGCTGCATGTACTACAAGTCCTAGAGTTGCTGTCATACTACCAGAACTTCGATGATGATGTCCACTCTCTAAATCTTATTTAAATGATATTTTTAAAATTTTATATCAAGTCATTCCATAAAATTATTAATTTACCTTTAGTGTACTTAGACGAAAGTTGGTCAATGAGCAACATTAAAGTGAAACCAAAAACTAATGTTATTCCAATTATTGAATGAAAATTTACACTGTTAAAATCCACTTCTACTGTTACATTTTCAGCAGCTGTAATTTTTAATTATATTTAGCTATATACAAATAAAATAATTCATAATATATTATTTATACTTGTATTTATTTAAAAGTGTGTTAAAGAAAAAATGTAACACCATTAAAAATTAAAATAATATTTAAAAATAAATAATTGTAGTGCTAACCTTTATGTGGCATCACAGAAGAATATAGTGAGTGTATTCCTTCAGGAATTATCACAGCCAAAGCTGTCCCAACTAGAAGACCTGCTCCAAATATTGACACCAGCTCTAATTTAGACTACAGATAAAAAATAATAATGTTGTTAGGTTTCATATGAAAATAACACATCTTACCTCTGACATAGGCATCACTAAAGGAAGATTGCCTGCAAAATAGCTAGCAATTAACATTACAAACGATAATAAAATAAGAAATGTTGCTCCTTCCATTGTTGAAAAAAATATAATAACGTTTAAATAAAAAATATTGTTATAATCTATCACTTAAATATCATTTTTCAATCTTGAGTTTAAAAAGAAACTTATCCATAAACAAGAAACATATGCTTTTGTATTTGTTTTTGAAACAAACAATTTTATAACGACTCATGTATTCAAATGAGAAGAAGAAAAAACACGTACGAGACTGTAATAATAAAAAACAACAATATTCTGTAAGCGAAAGTTTCAATTTCTAAAAATTTAACTGAGCTATCAGCTGTAGTTATCAAAAATGATATCAATATTGACACGTTGATAATGAGAACGTAATCAATCTTATTATACAGTAATCAATGTTGCAAAGTTAACAGTTGGCTACACTGTACCTTAATAACCGCGCTACTACCCGCTAGTCTAGTAACCTTTGTTCAAGCGTTTAATGGCGTCGTTCATCTACCCGTCGTCCACCTTCATATTATAGTGTAGACGGTCGCCATTTTTCTCGCGCGTAAGTCGCTCGGACGTGCGTGCGACATATTTTTTAAGTATAAACAATAACAAACAAAATGGCGTCGCCGGCAGATTATATGAAACCTGACTTAGAAACTGTTAAGTTGGAACATATACCTGTGGAGATGCCGTGTGAGGTGGTGGAAACTACTGTAGTGGATCAGAATGGTAGGCACCTTATTATGGCTCCAATACAAGGGATAGTAAAGAATGAAAATACTATGTTGTTGCAAGCAGCTTCTATCAGTGGTCAGCATCAAGACCATGAAGATAATCAACTTACATATGTGTATGAGAGTGTCGTTCCCCAAGAACTTTATGCTGAACCCGAAAGTCCTGGACCTTCTAGAAACAGGTAATGCTAATAAACCTAAATCTAATAATATTAAGATATTATATATGTACATAGGGAATTTAACTAAGTATCTTCTATTGATATATTGTTATTTATCAGCATTGGTAACGGACATTGACATTAAAATTTTTTATATTCGAGGTTCAATTTTTTAATTGTTTGCATTATAAAGTTATTTTAATTGTAGATTTAAAAAAGAAAATGTTGAAGATCATTTTCTTGTTCAAGCTATCCCATCACCTCCAGAGCCAGTATCTATTGGTCGCCCTAGGAAATGGGAACAAAAGCAAGTGCAAATCAGAACTTTAGAAGGAGAATTTTCTGTAACTATGTGGGCATCTGGAACTGATGATGGTATAATTTCAGAATATTATTTTCTTATAATTATAATAATCCATTTTTATAATATTTATTATCTTATATAATACAGATTACATTTTAGAAGAAGTTAGTAATCCTGAACCAGATCCTGATCCTGATTATGAAGAATACATGACTGAACAGACTATAACAGAAGAAATTCCTCAAATTAATCTAAGTGACCCTAAACAACTTGCTGATTTTGCAAGGTATTTATCTATTGAAATCTAACTTGATAATAATAATGATCAGTTTTACATCCTTCTATTTCCCGAACATAATATACTACAGTGGGTAGGGACCCTCTTCTACATGTTAGGTAGTTGAAGATAGTTCTTGATGATGAACGGTGCGGGTATTATGGTCATCTTACACCAGAGACCAGACTCCACCATTAGGAAAATATTAAGAAAAATCTCATTGGCACACTGGACATCAAATTCAAGACACCGTTCGCCAAAACATACATTTCTTCCGACTATGCCAGGCAGATCCATGAACTAATATAATAGTTGAAAAAAATATATATATAGTTCTTATTAGCAGTTTCAAATATTCGTAATTTTTATCTAAGTTTTTAAAATTTAAATGGAATAATTCTATATATTTAAATAAAAATATGTTATTTTTTGCCATAAATATTCTTAAAAATATTAAACAAAATTTTTTAGACCTGGTCATAAAACGAAAGTAAAAAAATCTTATGGTCAAGAAATGATGGACCGTACAATTGCTTGTCCAAACAAAAATTGCTCAAAAATGTTCAGAGATAATTCTGCTATGCGAAAACATCTTCATACTCATGGGCCTCGTGTTCATGTATGTGCAGAATGTGGTAAAGCATTTGTTGAAAGTTCAAAACTCAAACGACATCAATTAGTACATACTGGAGAAAAACCATTTCAGGTTTATATTCATTTTTGCATACAATTTATATTTAATTGGTATTAACATTTCTCTTGACAATTAGTGTACGTTTGAAGGATGTGGTAAGAGATTTTCATTGGATTTCAATCTTAGAACTCATGTTAGGATACATACGGGTGATCGACCTTATGTTTGTCCATTTGATGCGTGTAACAAAAAGTTTGCCCAGTCAACTAATTTAAAATCACACATTTTAACTCATGCCAAAGCTAAGTAAGTATTTTTTGTATATAAAAGTTTAGGTTTTAGATATATTTTTATAATCTTATAATAAATGTACCAATAATATAAACTGTTAGTTGAATTTTATTAAATTAAAAAGTAATTTAAATTGTTTAATACATTTTTATTTTAAATATTTAAAATAGTTAATATTTTTACTAGTAATATTTCTTAATAATTTGTAATATTTGTAAATTAGTTTTTAATAAAAACTACAAAAATAAAATAAAAGAATGCTCAATATGTAATAAATTTTGAGCATTATTGTGAACTATTATATAAAAGAATTATGGTAATGTATAAAATATGATAACAATGTTATCAAAAAAACAAATTAATTAGCTGTTAAGTAGTTATCTAACAATTACACATTTTTTAATTTCTACTTCATTTTACCTAATGAGGTGTTAATAAACTTCTTCAATGTGATTAATATTTTTTTATAGCAGACATATGTCTCGACCAAGACCTAGCTCCAATAGGTCAGTAAACCAAGAACAAGATGATTTAAATCAGCAATATGTAAATGTTGAAATTCCCGAAGTTGACCACCAACATTTTATTGTATATGCTGAATAATGTATGAGAATTTAATGAAGTAAGTTTCTTTATTTATAATATACTAATGATTATACATTTAAAATTTTTAAAACCATTACTTATGTTTTTATGTTTACAATACATTTAAAAATATATATAAATATACAAAGTGTATTAGTTTCATCACTTACATGTATATATAATTTTTTTTTTTAAGAGAAACCAAGTTGAATATGGTGACATTTGTATTCTTCACAGTTACTGAATTAAAAATATATTTCATCATATTAGCATGATATTTATGTTGAATTTATGTACATATCTACTGTTTTAATTAAGAAAGTATAATTGTACCTAAATTGCCTATTTTTAACTGTATAGTACCTAAGCCGCAATTAAAAAAAAATGATTAGCTATTCTAATATTATCTTTTTTATCTACATTATAAATTATTTCAAGCCCAGACTACTTGTTATGCTAATGTATGGGCTTTCTGTAAATTGGTACTTTACTAAAAAAAATTACATATATGTATGTATACATATATTTTATTTTATTTCATAAGAAGTGTAAACAATTTACTTGTTGTTATAAGACTGTGAAAAATGATATGAGCAAATTTGTTTAATTTTTTTTTTTATATATAGAATTTGTATGGCTTTTTCAGTGATAATATTAGATAATCATTTACTATATATCTGTACATGAATGTAATATATTTATATTTTTTAATGTAAAAAAGAAAAAGAAACTTGACTTTATTTATATATTTTATTATATATATTCATTTACCTAATATTATATGTACATACAAATTTATATATCTATATTTGAGTCTATTTATTTTATTATTATTGTACCTTTATTTCAATACCTTTTAGAAAAGTTATTATCAATATGTATAATGATATTGTTAATTTGGGTAAGATTATTAACTTTACACATTTGTAAATTGATATATTACATCTCTGTTTGATTCTCAAAGCTTACATTTTTGTAGGTAAGTTAAATACTAAAACATGCCTATGAAATGAATATTTTGTCTTGCCGCTAAAATTGGATCATAATTAGGGCAGTATTGATTTCGACGACGTATGAGGCATAAATTTGAATATCTTTGTAGGTCGTTAAAAGCTTTTTAACATTGTGACATCCGGAAAACCTATAATTTTGTTTTTAAGACGCTATCTATCTGTATTGACTGAAATTAAATATATTTAAACAAAAAAATTATTTATTTTGCTTTAATAGAAATTAATACGGTAATCTAGAAAATTATCTTTCATTAATACAATTATGTTGGTGTTTACTGTATATTTTTATTTTAATATACATGATAATTTAATACGCAAGTAGTGTAACTTGAACATAAAGTATCAAAAATTTGCACCCAATATGACATTTTTGTTATTTATCAAAATGTACCCTTGCACTGTATGCCTTAAAAACTTCCAAAACATGTAACAGAAAATCCGGATATTTTTTTAAAAACTGTATTAATTACTTTTATCCTTGTAGACAACTGTAATATTCAATTAAGTTAAAAAATATTTTTTAAAATTGGTAGTAAGCTTTTAATAGGAATATTACGTAAGTACCCGTACTAAGCGCTAGCGTAGAACTTTCTCGCGTTCCTTTTAGGTCGATTGGAGTTGGTAGTTACATCGGGTAGTCTTGATTTCTCCTCCCTAACGGGAAGGGGTCGAATGCTCTGGGCTTTGTCGTGCGCTTTTGTGAGTTGAAGTGATGTAACTGGTATTATTTATAAGGGTAACAACTAACAAAAACAGTTAGCACCACACTTACGTAAGATCATCTTAGCTTTGTCTAATATTTATCAATACCAGTTGGTGCTTTGTGTTTATTCAGGTAAATATACACAACATAGCATTAAAAAATATCTATCAAGTAAAAGAAAGTAACAATTTAAGTTTAAAATCAATACTTTATAGTAATTGTTTAAAGATAACTTTTCAAAAATAATTTTTGTTCTACTAAAGTAAAAGTAGAAAATTTACGAAAGGGATTTGGTTCTTAGGAGCTACTTATTTTTATCAAAAATATTTGATCATAATAAACGTAATTGGTGAGTGCCTTTTGTATAAAGAAAATTGTAAAAAAAAAAATGAAAAACGAAAAAATTGTAAAAAAGTGTTAATTTAAAGAAATAACAAATATTATGTGTATAATAACCAGTGGCGTAATTAACGTTTTGTTCGGGTAAGGTATACATAAAAATATTTAATTACCCTCTCTAAACGAAAAAAAATTGTGTCTTCACTATGTAAATATTTGTTAGCTCTGGGGATCTATCCTTATCCCTGTTAATTACGTTCCTGATAATAAATTCATATACAGTAAAACAGGATATCAAATTTTAGATATTACTGAGCCCATAAATTAGTGAAAGTTATGATCAATAAAATATTTTGATATATTTGAATACATAAATTTCTATTCACAATTCAGATTTTAGAGTTTTCTTTATATTTTAGTACTAATAATTTTTAAAGGCAATTTTTCTTTTATATTGCTAATTCTTGAATACAATCCACCTTTCATAGTGCTTATTTGATTTAGATATTAAAAAACAGTTTAGCTATATAGACGTTGATAATAAGTGTCAAACAAGCCTAGATTATGCTACAAGTACACAAGTAATAATAACTTTAAGTTAAAAGTAGTTTCTTATCAGATGTCAATGTACAGCGTCCGATCCTCGTTTGATTAGTTGGCCAACTATAAGATACTTAAGTGACAACGTAGAAAACAAATAAAGCTATAAAGACACTACTCGGCTATCGGTTGACCAGCAACCACAATTTACTACAAATATTGCATAAAACAAATTTTATGTTATCTTATCTTGGTAACTGAATTATGACAATATTTGATAAAAATAATAACTTATTTTTGTTTAATTTAAAAAATGTTTTATTCAACGTCCAATTTTTAAACATTACCTAAATTGTATATCCTATAAGGGGGTTTAAACAACTTATTTTAGTTTTTAGGGGGTTAGTCCCCTTAAGCCCTCCAGAATTACACCTATGACTTAACCGCAATTACGTATACTTCTGCATTCGCACAAACAAAACAAAGATCTTATAAATAAAGTGATATTCATATATATATATATTAAATTAAATTTTACTATACATTAATTATGACACAAAACCAGCAAATAGTTTGGATTGGTTTTTAAAAAATATTCTACGATCAATTATTTAATACTCTGGATAATTTATTTTCCTATCAGGAAACAAAAATATTATAAATTATAAATTATAATAATTACTAAAATATTTGAAAACAAATGATATTGTTGAAATAATTTAATTATTTACAAACTGTAGTATAATATATTGAGTATTTTGATCTGCACTGAAGCCTAATATGACCACAAGTCAGTGTACTATTTACCCATTGATAATTTTGCTGTAGGAATAAAAATAAGCTAAAAACAATTCCAATGCAAACAAAATGTATCGATAAGTTTTATTCAGTGCATTGCCATTTATGGACCAATAACATAATATAACCATAACATACTTTTTTCTCCTTATTGTATAAATAGAACTAAATTTTAAAGAACAATACGGTAATGCAATTACAATAATATAGGTTTAAATCAACTTAAAAAAAGAACAAAAAATAAACAACTTTTTGGGAAATCATCATAAGCAAAGGGTTCGTGGTTTGTTTTTTTTTTTGTTAGACACTGAATGTCTTTAACAAATCTAAGTGATATGCTGTGATACAAACATATGCAAAGCAATTATTACTATTTATCACATTCATCTACTTTACTATCGAGCTGTTATAATATAACTGCTATAATATTTTAATTTATATATATATTAAAATAAAATTTATTTAATATGAGGGTTATTTGGTTACAATTGAAAACTATAAGAGGTAAAAATGTACATAGAAAATATTTGATTGAATCATAACTATTTATAATATGCTATGAGGCTTGAAAAATTTAACTTCTTCATTTTCACTGAGTGTATTTTTGGCGTGACTTGTAATAATTATTTGACCATTATTTAAGTAAAATGGAAGTTTAAAAAGAAGTCACTATTTCTAGTATATTTTGTTTTTATGCTTATACGTTTTGTAAGCTTTTATTAAAATGTTAAGTGATTTTTGAAAAATCTTATACATAGTAAATAATACATTTTTATAATGTAAAACGAAACATTATACACCATCATCAATTTTATTGTTGACGTTAAAATTTACTAATATTTGTTATCGATTAAAAGTTAATAAATAATATTAACTAAAAAGTCAATGCTTATCTATACATAAGTTGCTGACACATTATTAGAAATAATGAAACCTAACTATATTTGAAAAATACTATCATTTATTGACACATCAATTTTTACCATTTAAGTCATCAATCTATCCATTTAGAACAAAAAACTTTTCCCTATAATATTGGTCGTATCTCTAGTCCAAAATTACATTACAATCAAATGATTCATTGTTTAATATATATTATTACTTATCTTTAATTATTACACATCATGCGCGATTGTTTTTTAATTTGGTCACAGTCAGTAAAATCGTCGTTGGCAATTGCACTATTTATACGAGAAAACTAAAATCCTCTGCTCTACCAAAAAAACCGACTTCATTCTGAAAACTTGATCTATTTAATAACGTCATGCCAACGTGCATAATTGTTGACCACTACTTAATCTATCACACTTGAGCTTGTAGTAATAAAACGCGCTCAAACTGATGTCAGATTCCAGGGAGTAGAACAATCGTGTGGTTATGAACTATGAGGACCTCGGCCCAAATGGTTTTCGAAATAATGTGCTGACCCAGACGAAATATCACGAAAATGTATGCACGCTTCTTTACAGTTTTGGCTGACCTAGGACGTGTAGAGTTCCGACTACCTAGAAGTAAACACTATTCGTTTGTATATGTTTGTGTATGCGCGCCTGAAAAAATATAAGAGTGCGTAAATACAAGTAAAAAATAACTGTACAAAAAAATGAGTCTTGGGGACGGTCGTACACTCGAGTGACAAGGTCAATACCGCTTGTAGAGAGAAAGATGAAATAAAAATAAACATACAGAGGGATTACTCGGAAAAGAAATTGTAAAGATACAGTTACAGGGATGTTTTACAATGGGTAGAATAAATCACTTTCGTTTTTTAGCATGACTACTCCTCTTTTAAAAAGGCTTATCATCGACAATACTGATAGTTTCTTCAGGTTATCGGAAAATTTATGTGTAAACACGAGCTGACACAGGTACGAAATATCACGCATTAAAAAATAACAAAATAAGGTGTTTTTATTAAACTTGTCTCATTGGTAAGAAAGAATTAAAAATAATTATTGACCTTAACACTGCACTACTAAGTAGGCTATTAAAAATCAAGAGACGTTAAAGGGTTCAAAAAAATTTGCTTGTTTTTGATTTTCTACGCCGAGTACTTAGCAGTTCGAGAAACTACTATTATTAAATACACGACGAGCAACGAACCCACGAGGAACTTTATAACTATTTCTGTAATTATAGAGAGATGGAGTAAAATGCATAACTCGTTTAATTTTCTGTGCACACAAGTAATCAATCTATTAAAATGAGATACCGTAAAAAACTAATTATTTTTAATAAAACTTGCATGATCAATGTGGTGG